GATTGGCTGTGTAAGACATGCCATGATTCAACAGTGGCATGAATATCACGGGAGTAACCAACCACTTTTATTGGATTAAGGCTCACTCCAAAAGATGCAACTCATACCTGATATCACTGATAGACCAAGAGTATGTGGATAAATAGATTATAGGCTCTGGGCATGAACCTACCACTAGTATGCTGCTAAATGAACATAATATTAAATTGATTTCTATTGACTTATTGTTATACTAATAGATTAATCTCTCAACACTCATTAAAGAAGCTTCTATTGGCAGTAGGCAATGATTAACACCCAGACAAGATACAGAGAATGAGAGACTACAGAAGCTCATCCCTAAATGGGACATCTATATCATATCCCACCCTTTCAAGGATCAAGGATCATTCATTGTAAATGTAGAGTGATAAGAGACTGTAAGAGCCAGAGGTGATGAGTGCATACAAGTAAAGAGTGTCCCTGTACATAGCAGGACTGCTACTCACATGTACTCACAGAAATATGGCAGCATGCACAAGCCTTGTGTAAGTTCAAACCAGACTAAATCTCAGCAAAGAGAGAGGAGATGGAGACAAAGCTCAACCCCTAGCTAAAGGCAATTGGTAGTTGCTGGGAAAGGGAGAGCTTATGTTTGTCAAAAGTATTGACCCTATAAGGTCGACCAAACTCCAATGGAAGGCCACACACTGAAGAATATATGGGCAGCACAAGTTGGATTTAACTGTTGGGGGAGAAAGGACACAAAGTTGGGTGGATAGAGAAAGGAATGATGAGTCTGGAAGGAGTTGGGGAGGGGCTAAATATGATTAAAACACAAGAATTAATAAAAAGAATCAAATGTCCCAATTTAAGTGTGTGTGTTCATGTCTATTTTGTTGCTTATGTTTGTCTGATGCCAGTTTTGATTAGTGTATAAAGGCCTTTAATTTTAGTTATCCACCCCCCATATTTCTTCCCAGCCCTCCCAGTCTCCCCCCAAATTAAGACTCCTTATTATATTAATCCTTATCTATCAAAGATACTACCTAGAATAAACAAACTAACCAAACCATTGTTGAGGACTTAACTGCATATTTTTTATTCCTTGCAAGCTATAAATTTCATTCATATGTGTGTTTAATATGTTTTAATTAAGAATTTTATATATGCATATAATGCATTCTTATATTTGTGTCCCAATAATATTGTTTTGACTATATTTACTCCTCTCCCTAACTCCTTTCAATTCCACCCTCCTCTTCCTCCACCCAAAGTTTCATTTACTCCTTTTTATTTGAGTTCAATTTGTACTATCCATGTAAGCACAGGTATAGGACCACCCATTGAATCATAGTTGGTCTACAAAGGGCCACATCCTTAAAGAAAACTGACTTTATTCCCCTAGTTGCCATCAACTGTCAATAGCTCCTCAGGGAGGGGTAAGAGCTCATCAGTCCCTCTGCCTTCCATGCTGGAATGTTGATTGGCTTGATGTTATGCAGGTCTTGTGCAAGCAACAACAGCTGCTATGGATTCATGAATCTGTCATACCCAGAAGACACTGCTTTATGTTGGTCCTCCCAGACATTCTGTTTCCTCTTCTATAATGTTCCCTGAGCCTTGGAGGGAAGGAGTGTGATGTAGATGTCCCATTTGTGGCTGAAAATTCCACAGACATGATACATATTCCCTATACTTGACAAGTTGTGAGTTTCTGCATTAATTACTGTTTATTGCACAAAAGGCTTCTCTGGAGAGAACTGAGAGCTGGAATATGCTGGTACGTAGCTATGTATTTAAATTTTGGTTTAGTATACTGTATCCATTTAACAAAGTAACAGTAATAGGTTCACCCTGGGAGGCTATGAGCCCTCAGCCATGGGTTCTTGGCCAGAGAGAATACCAGGCATCCATTTCTTCCTGTTCAGCAAGCCAGTCAAGAAGTGGTTTGTTGCTCTATAACATCCATGTCATGATTGCACCCATGGACATATCTTGCCCAGCTGTCATTACTGTAGCCCACAAGATTCACTACTGGGTAAGCCTATTGATTTTTCTGCTCCAGCAGTCTGCACAGCACCGTCTGTGAAAGCATCAGGGAGGAAGTTTCTGAATCAGCTTGATTTCTCTATGTCCTCTGACCAAACTGTGAGACACTGTCAGCAACATGGTCTTGCCACCAAGTTATGGTGAGCAAAAGCAATGGAATAGCCTATTTTGTTTAGGGGCTTTCAGATAACATCGGACGTCTTCATATATTTTAAATATAAGTTTCTTGCCATATGTGTCTCTTTAAGAAGGTGTATTCTCAGAACTAATTTTTACAAAAGGGTAAAAAATCTATTCACACACAGGCAAAAAAAAAAGTGAATTCTAATAAGGTTTGCCTAGGGCTCCACCCCAGCAAATCATTTATTCCTATATAAAATCAAATATGCTTCCTTCACACTCACTAAAAATTCATCCAATACCAATTTGTCATTTTGCCAAGCCAACTCAACAAAGTATTTCACCTCTTACACTCTTGTGAAGTGTGGTATATTAAGATTATCCTGTGAAAAAGAACATGAAATTACTTAAATATGTTAGGTTACCTAGCATGTGAAATTAAATCTTCCAAGAAAAAGGGAAGGCAAGAAAATATTTCATAATAAAAATCATAGTACATTGGGATTCAAGCCAGGATCCCAATGCCAGCACAGGTATTTTTGTTCCTGGATAAGAGGCAAATTTTCAGTCTCCAAAGTGTACCTACACTATGATATAAATGGGTGAAGTGAAATGATTTCTACATAAATTTAATATCAACCACTTTGTATTTACAAAAACTATGTCTTAAAATATGGAAGAATTATGGATAAGGATAAAAGGAAACCTATTTAGAGAAAACGTTAAAATTCCCTCTACATATAAGATAGAATGCAATGGAAACTGTATAACTTGTTGGAAAAATAATGATAATAAAATGTCTTTGCATCTTCTACTTTATTTCAGAAACTAATTTAAGAGTGTTTATTCTGCAAAAAAAACCCAAGATAGACAAAACAATCCTGTACAATAAAGGAACTTCTGGAGGCATCACCAACCCTAAATTCAAGCTCTACTATAGAGCTATAGTAATGAAAACAGTTTGGTATTGGCACAAATACAGAGAGATAGACCAATGTAATTGAATTGAAGACCATGATATTAATCCACACACCTATTAACACTTGATTTTTTACAAAGAAGCTAAATTCATACAGGGGAATAAAAGAAAGCATCTTCAACAAATGGTGCTGGCACAACTGGATCTGGCATGTAGAAGATTGCAGATAGATCCATATCTTTTGCCATGTACAAAACTTAAGTCCAAATGGATCAAAGACCTCAACATAAATACAGCCACACTGAACCTCTTAGATAGAAAGTGGGAAATACCTTGAACATTTGGCACAGCAGACTGCTTCCTGAACATAACACCAGTAGTGCAGATACTGAGATCAACAATTAATAAATGGGACCTCCTGAAACTGAGAAGCTTCTGTAAGGCAAAGGACACAGTCAACAAGACAAAATGTCAGCCTACAGAATGGGAAAAGTTCTTCACCAGCCCCACATCTGACAGAGGGCTGATCTCCAAAATATACAAAGAACTCAAGAAGCTAGTCACCAAAACACGATGAAAAAATCCAATTAAAACATGGGGTACGGATCTAAACAGAGAATTTTCAACAGCGGAAACTCAAATGTCCAAAAGACCCTTAAGACCAAAACACGATGAAAAAATCCAATTAAAACATGGGGTATGGATCTAAACAGAGAATTTTCAACAGAGGAAACTCAAATGTCCAAAAGACCCTTAAGAAAGTGCTCAACATCTAGGGTAATCAGGGAAGTGCAAATCAAAACAATTCTAAGATATCATCTTACACCTGTCAGAATGGCTAAAATCAGAAATACCAAGGACAGTTTATGCTGGAGAGGATGTGGAAAAGGGGGAACACAATTCCGTTGCCAGCTCAGCAAGAAAAGAGATACTTTAATAGAGGGAGCCATTATAGGCTTAACGAGAAACCTGGAACTAGGGAAATTTCCAGGAATCCACAAGCATCACCCCAACTAAGAATCTAAGCAATAGTGGAGAGGCTGCCTTAAATGCCATTATAGAGCCTTCATCCAATAGCTGATGGAAGCAGAAGCAGAGATTCACAGCTAAGCACTGAGCCAATTCCTGGAATCCAGTTGTAGAGATGGAGGAGTGATGAGCAAAGGGGTCAAGACCATGCTGGAGAACCCACAGAAACAGCTGACCTAAGAAAATGGGAGCTCTGGACCCCAGATTGACAGCTGGGGAATCAGCATAAGACTGAACCAGGCCTCCTGAACATGGGTGTCAACTGGGAGGCCAGGGCAGTGTATGAGGCCTCTGGCAGTGGAGCCAGTATTTATCCCTAGTGTCTGAATGGGCTTTTGGAGTCCTCCCACAGGAGTGGATTGGGGTGGGATGGGGAGATGGTGGGGATAGTGGGAGGATGGGAATTAGAGAGAACTGGGATTGGTATGTAAAATAAGATTGTTTTTAATTTCAATAAAAATTAATTTAACAAAAGAGTGCTTATTCTGGGCTGGAAAGATGGTTCAGCTGTTAAGATCATGTACAGCTCTTTCAAAAGACTCCAGTTCCCAGCATTTACCTCAGGAGCTAATATGAAAAAGAAGATCAGAGAATATGAGTAATAAAAATCAAAAGTCATTTGTGGTGGCAATCCTGGAATTTGGGAGGGAGAGGCAGAAGGCTCACCAAAAGTTTGAAGTCAACCTGTTCTACATGACAAGTTCCAGGCTACCTGAAGCTACATAGACAGTCTTTTAAAAGAGTGAATTGGAGGTGACAAAAGGGAGGGAAGAAAAAAAGGAAAAAGAAAAGGGAGAAGGGATGGGAGGAGGGAAAGGGATGAGGGGGGAGAGAGAAATCAAGCAACAATGAAAACCTTGATGCCAGTGGCTGCAGCAATGGAAAAAAATCTGGTTTTGATATTTCTCTTCAGCCTTTGGGCTAAAATCAAGTGTAGTATCTGCTCCCATCAGCTGAATGTCTGCTATGTCCTCTATCCAAGGACAGTATACTAAATAGATTTTTGGAGCTGGGAGTTGGAATGAGGCACTTGTTCTGTCCATTCCACAAATTGACCTGAAATAGCAGTACTCCCAGGAGTGGTACATGTCCCGGGGTGGGAACAGTGCAAACCTTGGGCTCATCAGTAAATCCTATTATGAAGACAGTTGGCTGATGAAATGTCACTTAGTAACCCTTCAGTATTGGATGAATTAATGAGTGAAGAAGCACATGAGAAATAGTGAAGTCTATGACTGATTAGTGAACATGGGACTCCCTCCCAAATAAAACAGTGTAAAGTAACCTGGAAAAAAAAAAAAAGAATTGATTGCAGGGCAACTCAAGGAGGAAAATTATGCCACATATAGTCATAAATGAGACTGTCTAGAAAAGGTCAGAAAACACTATTCCTTATGCATGCCATAGCTGTAAAACTCCTTATCGTCAATACACCTAAGTAGCTAGTGAAGTCAGCAGATCTGAGAAGGCACGACACCCATGTACATACACCAGGGGTTACAGATAGATACTCACTTGTCATATACCATCGCTAACAGTGTGAGGAACTCAGGTGATAAACGGAAAGCTTAGTCATACACCCTACAAAGGAAATCATCTGTTAGCTTAGAGGGGATAATAGTGAAAGCTAAATCTTTCCAAAGGACAATGTTAAAGGGAAAAAGTACAAGGGTGAGAGTTCAGTCCTCTCACAGTGGTCAGGTCCATTCCCCACCATAGTGATGGGGAGACCTCAGAGCAGTAAGAGTTCGATCTGGAGTGCTAGCTTGTCAGTGACACCCAGGGGAGGGGCCTTCCATGGATGGGGAGTTCTTAGCCATCCTTCTCCCCCAGAAAGTCCAGTGAGAGAAATGAGGAGTCATGGAAAGATTCAAATCCCCTCATTCCTGGAAACAGCATCTGAGCAGAGATTTTAGAGTTTTAACAATGTGGTCTTTCTCTATCCTTGTCTTTCTGTTTCCATGGTAGCCAAGTGCTTTTATTCTGGGAACTGTCTCGGTGAAACTCATCTTGAAGAGTGAATGTTGATACAATTCAGAGGGTCCACATGATCTATATAGAGTAGGGATTGAGACAGGATAGACAAATTAGACACACCAACTTTCATAGTGCCTCCCCTATGTACTCCCTTCCCTCTGCAGCCAAGATAAAACTGGTTAAAACCTGAGTCTCTTCTCTAGAGTGATTCTATAGAGATGGAAGCCATTTGACACTGTCCAGACCTTCCATCTATACTGGGGACTATAGTAAGCAGAGCATGAAGATGAAGTTGTGTAACCCAAAGTCTTGTTCTATATTACCATTATTAAACAATAATAGTAATTGTGTAAATGTGTGAAAGTATTCATTAAAAGCTAAAAGAAAGGAAATGTTTACAGAATATGTCTAATGCTGTATGGCATTAAAACTCTGCCCATTTTACAGGGGAGGATGCTGGGCCTAAACCACTTGTACCAAGTCTTTGGCCAGTGAGTTGGAGGAGCAGTGAACTCTGAACTTCAGGCTCCTTTCTTTCAAACTCTAACTAGTTCCAGCTAGACACCATGGGCCAGTCAGGCACTTACTCTTTTAGTTTGTAGCCACATGGCTTCTCTCTGCAGCTTCTGAACACAAATAGCTCCTGGAGAAAAATAAGGGAGAGCTCCTACCAGTCTGCTTCTGCTTCCTTGCTTTTAGGACCAAACGCTCTAGTTTTTCTTAGTTCCCTAGCCAAAGTGCAGAACATGCTTTCTGATTCTGCCTTTTCCTTGGAGCTCCTGTACAGTCTCTGCACAGAACAGTAGCATAGTGTCCTGGCAGGTCACAGGGCTGGAAAGACTTTGATTCTGGATTAGAGACCTCAGGGAGCTAGTTGCAGAGGGCTCACAGATCCATTGTCAGCAATCTGCCCTCACCACACACACACACACACACACACACACACACACACACAAAACAAACAAACAACACACACACACACACACACACACACACACACACACACACACACACACACACACACACACACACACACACACACACACACATATACAAAACCACCACAGCCTCATGTGGCTCTTAATAATCTGTTTGTGCATTCAATGTGCATTTTTATATGCACAATTAAAAACAAAGCACTATGGGAAAATACATTGTTGCTATTCTGTACTGATACTAAATACAAAACACCACTTCTGGCTCAGGAACCTCATGCAGAGACAAAGGATCCAATAGCAATGTACAAATAATTCTGTCCTACTAACTATTGACAACAGCTTCATAAGGAAGATCTGTCATTCCCCACTTAAAAGGGTGGAACACCCAGACAATACAATGAAGAATCTTGAGTCAACCCCACTGGGCTCCTCAAAGTCAAGGTACATTACTAACAGCACTCAACTCTGTCCTTCAGCAGCAGGTCTTCTTCCCTGAGCTGTCCATAACGTCAAAACCATTTTAAAGAAGTGATTCCATAAATATGAATAAAGGGCCTAGTAAAGTTTTCTGTAGAAACTTGGCTTTGTTGCTGCTCTCCAGGGTGTATATATATTTAAGAATGAGTGATTGTGTAGCCATGAAACAAATCTCTCAATTTAGGGAAATTTGAGCTACAATGTTAAGTAGGGTTTTGCTCCAAAATAATGACAGAAATGGTCTTGGGGAAGATGACAAACCCTTATAAGGGCAGAAGTCCATCTTCTTCTAGATGAGCACACCTAAAATCACAGCACACTGGCCTGGGCAGATTTTGAAGCCATATGTATACATCAGTGAAAACCTGCTCACCCTTGGCTCAACAGTGACAATGACAATGCTTCATCAGTCAAACACACAGAATTGTCCACATCCCAGAGTGAGTCCAAAGGATTCCAGTCCCACTCCAAAAAAGAAAGGTAAAGGCAATTCATTAAAACAAAATTAAAATAAGCCCATAATGCAGGCTTCTTGGATCCAAGTACAAAGATGACGTTGGAGGTTCTCTGGAAGCTCTGAGGGGATTTTGTCTGTTGCTTCAGATACAGTTGCCATGACTACTTCACTTCCAAATGAATCTTAGACAGGCTTCTCTAAAACCATGTTACCTAATGAGTTGCTCCAGTGCATACAGCAAGCAAAAAACAACTATGTTGACATTTCCTCCTTTTTTGTGATATCTCCAGCTTCCAAAGCTAGAGTGTCAGAAAACTGACTTCCTTCTTTTATTTATTTCTGGTTTAAACTACATATTGTCTCGACATTGTAGAATATAAGATGTTTCGTATGCAATATTTTTGCATATATGTTCATGTATACCAGGTCGTAGGCTTCTCAGGGACCATGGATTGCAAGTACACTCCAGAGTCAATCACTGAAAGTATGAGGTTCTACTTTGCATTAGAAGAAGCACGAGCTACATACAGTCTTCAACCCTACATTCTAGCATCTTTAGCACAAGAAGTTACTCTATATCCTACCAAAGAAGAAATGTAAGCACCAACCCAACCACAACCCTTTGCTCTACAGTGATGTTCTGCCTACAAGGTATGCTAGTGCAATGGTGGCACAAAGCTTATGGGCATAAGCAACCAATTTCTGAATTGACCTAAGGCACACTCCATTAGATGGAGCCCATACCCAACACTGCTTGAGTAATCAAAAACCTGAGACTAGATAGCCCAGGGACCACAGGGCAAAACAAATGCTATCATTCAAAAATGAAAAACAGTAGCAATAAAATGACTCCTAATGACACTCTGCTATACCCATAGATTAGTGCCTTCCTCAGCCATTATCAAAGAATCTTCCTCCTACAGCAGATGGGAACAAATACAGAGACCCACAGTCAGATATTTTGCAGAGAGGGAGAGACCTTGGAACACTCAGTCCTAAGTGGGATAAGTCTCCATAAAAATCCCTCCCTTCAGAGCTCAGAGAACCCTGACAAAGAGGAGGTACAAAGAGTGTAAGAGCCACGGGGAAGAGAGATCAGAAAGAAAACAATGTCCTCTAAGTCAACAGGATGGGTGCAGATGTGAACTCATGGGAAACTGAGGCTGGATGTATAGGATCTGCCCAGGTCTGCGCCTGGTGGGGTCCTAGAGCTGAAAGGAGGAATGAACACACACCCCATTCCCAACCCGAGCTGTCTCCAATTGATAACCTCTTGTAAATGAAAATTTACTTTTCTCCAAGGCAGTCTCACAGGAGGAGCAAACCACTCTAAGGCTGAGCTGCATGTCCAGCAGTATATGGCCAGCAGAAAATGAACTCTACAGAATCTTGGGAAGTTCATTGTCTCATAATGTCATCTCAGGACTTTTCTTTTTATTTTTATTTTATTTCATTTATAGATTTTTCTCTCTTTTTACCATATATGTCCTTTATTATGACTTACAGTTTAGTGTTTTATGGGATTCCTAAGCAAGGAAATGAGTGATTCTCTTCATCTGTATCTGTTTCTGATGCCTTTTCTTAGGCTCCTTTCCTTTTGTTTGTTTGTTTTGTCCTAGTCTAATGTGTTAGTTTTTGTTTATCTCATAGTATATTGTATTTTATTATTATCCCTTAGAAGCCTGTTTTCTAATGAGAGAAGAAACAGAGATGGATCCTGATGGGTAGAAATGAAAGGAGGAACTGGGTGTAGAGAGGGGGCAAAATATAACCAGGGTATATTATGTGAGGGGGAAAATCTATTTTCATAAAAGGAAAAACAGAAGAATAAACAGCACAAACCTGGCCAGAGAGAAGAGACAGAAGCATATGGGACTTCACTGTCATGGCCACACCTCAGGAAAAATCAGTAGAATTAATCTGCTCACACTTAAAGTGAGACTTCCTATCTCAAGTATGGTAATCTCAATAATCCCTCACAGACATGCCAGAGGCTTGTCTACTAGGTGATTCTAGATTCTTCCATGTTTACAGTGTTAACTACCACATAGAGCAATCAAAACTAGCCTTTTGGCCACAGAGTAAAGCCCTATCTCAAAACATAAAAAAAAAACAAATAAATAAGCAGGATGTGGTGTTGACATATGTTTCCCTCTAGGGTAACTATCCAGGTATGGAATTTCTGGGTCATAGGGAAAGTATTAATTCCATAAAAAGTTACCAAACTGTTTTTTTTTTCAAGAA